GTTCTCATTTGTGTGAAAGTACAGAAGGGTCAAACAGGGTCTCTTTCCCATTTTCCCATGGGCTGGCACAGTAGTAGACTAGGATGTTTCTTTGTGTTCTTTATTGGGTCCACAAGAACTTGAAACAAACACTTAATTTGACACCTTAGCCTTTTTGCTGTAGTCCAAGCCCACCGCGGGCCACAGTAATTACGGCCCTTCACTCCGTGTCAGCTGTCTATTTTAATGTGTGTTTCCGTCGCTGCTACTCCAACACAGCCGTAAGGGCCGAGCCCTTGTCTCAGTGACAAACGAGAAAATAATTTTAAAAACTATTTATACACTCAGAGGCATTTACAAAGCACACCCAGGATGTGGTCCCAGTTCTTCCCTCCCTGGAAGACAGGGGGATAATTGCTGGGGAGTTTGGTGTGGGAAGGACACTTGCTCCGAAAGGCAGAGTTTTTGCTACATTGTTACTGTATTTTCATTTTTGTTTGATTTTTTTTAAAAAGAGTGTTTCATGGAATATAAGATTCTAAGAAAATTATATTTTTCATCTATAGTGAAATTCTTAAAAGTTTATTTTTGTTTGAGATAGGGCATTGGTGTGCGCTTTGCTTTGAGGTGGTGGGTGTGCATTGCCACGGCTAACTGGATATTATATTTATAAACCTCATTTTTTCCATAATTCTAGAGAAGAGTCAGAAAGAAGATCCTATTTTGTTTCAAACTGTGTCATCAGAACTAAAATCCTCATATCTCTCCACACACATATGAAACGAGCTATTTACATTTACTATTTTCTGAGAGCTCCTTGCTTCGCCTATTACAGTGATTCTATTGACATTTTTTTTTCTGATAACGGCCAACATTTCTTGTTTGCCAATGATCCTCCCACACGACTCCAGGGCTGGCATGGTATCACTCTGACCTTATATTTGAGGTGATCTGGGCCTCTGGGTCTGGGCAGGGGAAACCGCTCATGTAAGTTCATGCCTCTTGCTCTCATCAAATGTTTGACCCACCCTGGCCCTGATTCCCAGACTGGCACCTTTAACTGCCACCATATTTTAGGAAGCACGGCACAGCAGCCGAGTTTGGTCTCCACTCTCGCTGCAGTCCTTGCCCTGTGTCTCCGCGTCAAAGACTCACTGCCAACACCCAGGGATCTCACCCCAAGGGCTGCTGCACCGACCTAACCATCTCAGGACAGCACGGAAAGCGTCCGTATCATGTAAGAAGCTGGGGAAAGTTTTGAGACTGTGAGCCACACGAAGCCAGGTGGACATCCAGAGCAGGTTAATTCAAGCGCGGGCCTCCTTCAGATACCCTCCACCTGAACACATTCCAATGTGAGATGAACCCCTTTCCTGCCTTAGCTCAGACTGAGGTCCTATAAAGACCTGAAGGCACCGGGTAACGCTCGGGAGGGAGAGGCAGGCTGATCTCAGTGAGTTTGAGGCCAGCCTGGTCTACAAGAGCTAGTTCCAGGACAGGCTCCAAAGCTACAGAGAAAAATCTATCCCAAAAAACCAAAGAAGAAGAGGAAGAAGAAAAGACCCAAAGGCTCACTCTTTCTGAAGGTCAGTGACACTTTAATAAGGAGAAATGATTCAAGCCAGCCTGCCGTTTATTATAGATATGCTACACAGCTGTACTGGTCTCAAAACAATGGCTCTCAAAAGACATTTTGTCCCAAGTTCTTATTCCATTCTTTAAAGGGGCTAAAAATGTAGTGTTCACATTGATCTGGAAATAGAGCTAACTTTTAACATGGTCCCATCGCTGAGTGACCTTGGGGATAACATACTGTAATTCAAGGAAAGTCAATAAATGTCTCACCGTGCATGTGCGCGCCTAAATGGACATGCAAGCCCTGTCCTCCTGCAGAAAGCAGAGTAGCCAAAATGATTATTCAACTAATTGAAGGTCTAACTAGTTCACAACTAACAATTTCATTCTTGCCTTAAGCACTAACTGACTGCTTAGCTTCTCCAAGAGCAAAAAAACCACATATTTTATGACTGTCCGGTTAGCTGATGACTATCTTTTTAATAACCAATGTACAAATATATATTTCCTACAGAACTCTATAGGAGTCAGCTGGACACATTCCATGTTCACCACCTTGAGACTAACTGATGTTATATGCACTACGACTGCAGAACATTTATAGAGGACACAGAATTGGACTCATGTGTAATCATCCAGCAACCACCATGACTATAATAACGGATGCCACTCACTTGGAACTGCTATCAAAAGTCACCGCTGAAAAATCAAATATTCATTCTTAATTTTTAAAAAACTCAGTAAAGTTGACATTTGCAAAATTATATCTTTTGTAGCATGAGAAAATATCTTAACCTATAAAACTGAATGAAAATAATACAATGGAATTTATCTTAAAATTCTCATTAAATTGAGAGTATTCTCTTACATGGGGCTGGAGAGATGTCTCAGCGGTTAAGAGCACTGTCTGCTCTTCCAAAGGTCCTGGGTTTAATTCCCAGCGACCACATGCTGCCTCACAACCATCTGTAATGAGATCTGGTGCCCTCTTGAGGAAGAGACCTGGTCAGTCATCCTCATCAACTTAGTCCATAAAACCCAATATGGACAAGTTCAACAGAACCACTGTATATGGCCTGCCCATGTATACTATAGGATGGGAGATGTCATTTTAGGTTATTCAGAGGGGTTATTGGGCATGCATGCCAGTGAAGTGAAACAGGGTGTTTAAAGTTAGAAACAACTAAGCCAACACATAATGATTAAATAACTTGGAACAAGCATAAGAAAACTGTCAGACTGACAGATCTTAACAGTGCTACCAGAGACTAAAGAGTCAAGGAAGAGCAAAAACATAACCTGTACTTAGGAGGCTCAACATGCCAGTTATAAACTAATCCTGAGTTATCCTATAGCTTTGAAAGTTGGCATGAAATCCACACTCTTAAGCACAAACGTAGTGAAGGTTAATGCAGCAGAGGAGACCAACGGAAACAGATGGGAGGGATGTAGTAATTCTGTAGTTCTTGGGAGAACATGGTGCTGGAGCAATACGACACTGGGCGCGAGCATGGGGATCCACAGATGGGAGGGATGTAGTAATTCCGTAGTTCTCGGGAGACTATGGCACTGAGCAGGAGCACAGGTGGACGGAGGGAATGGTTCAGAGAGCACTGAAACAGGATGAGTTCCTCTCACATGGGTATTCCGTATTGCTAAAGGAGGCTACTGGACAGGAGGGTAAAGCTAATTATTCAACAAGTGCCAGTTATAAAAATGGCAGATCTTCATAAAAAATATTTCTCCTCTGTTTCATTCTTCATAGAGAAAAGTTCTGTAAGATTTTGCTACAAAAGGTAAATAAAAATGAGGTGGAGGAAAACAGAGAGAATGTTTTTTTCTAAAGTTTTGGCTCAAAAAAGATCTAGTTACACAAGCTTTAGTGGTTTATTCAAAACTGGATAGATTTCAGCTACTTAGGCACAGTGACACATCTTCATGCTTCAAGAACCACAGACACAGGCAAAGATAATGGGAAGCTGGGAGAAATGTAGCCCCATATTGTAAAAAAATTGGCTAATTTCCTTGACCAATAAACACCTGATACACACTATAAGAAAGTACCCAACAACTCAACTGAAAAAACCATCAGATGGCAGAAGTAGGTATGTAACAGGGACTCAGTATTCTCTACTGTACTTGGACACATGTTTAGCATTACTTATAATTTAAAATGTTATAGCTGGGAATGTAGCATGGTGGCAGACTGTGTCTTAGAATGTGCAAGTCCAGGGGTTCAACGCCCAGCACCATGGGAACAAACCAAGAAAAGAGTGATACTATTCATCAAATCAATAAAAAGCTGCAACATTCAGTAAGGATATGAAAAGCTGCTTTTCTTACATGTATTTGTGTATGTGTGTCTCTGAGTGTGTGTCTGTCCATCTGTGTGTCTGTATACATGTGTGTACATATGCTTATGCTTGTTCCAAGAGGTGCAGGGGGATGCCCTACTTTGTGGGAGTCACTTCTCTCCTTCTATTCTGTGTATTCTGGAGCTTAAAGTCAGGTTATTAGGATTAAAGTCAAACACCTTTGTCTGCTGAGCCAAATTGCTGTTCCAAACAATACTTTTTAAATATTGCTGGTTGAAATAGAAATTGGCTCAAGAATGTTATTTTGGAAGACAACATTGCAATCATCATAGTTTAAGTACATATTCTATTGTCTTAGCAATTAAGCTTCCAGAATTTACCTCATAGATACACTAAAGTATGTGCTAAGTATCACACATGGGTGTCTTGTTTGAAAGGGAAAGTATGCTCATTAATGGGAACTGGATAAATGAATATTATGATGAAGGCAGTGCAATACTAGGCACTCATGAGAAACAAGAAGGCTTCATGTTGGGATGAATTAATCTCCAAGATGAAGAGAGAAAAAGGGGCAGAGTTAAATATGCTCTCATTCTGTTTTAAAAAGGGTGATTATATATAGAAGCATATGCATTGAGACATGCATAAAATATCCCTAAAAGATACTCTATGGACTCATATGGAAGGCGATTTTTTTTCATTGCATACCATTCACATTTTATACTATATATATGTTCAAAAATGAACTACTTAAGAAAACAGTTTTATTTTAAAAACAAAATTCTCATTCTTCCTTATGTTCCCAAGGTTATTTTTGAGTCAGGTTGTCACTATTTAGTACAATCTAGGCTCCTGTCAATCTACTTACATAAACGATTGTTTAAAAATGAGTAAAGGGAGGGAGTGTGAAATCAATCATCACCATCGTAGATGGCAATATCAATAAAGCATCAGAATTCAGTAGTGTGAGAGGCTTTTGAAGAACTGCACTGCAGAAGGGCAGTGCTTTGGGGGTGGAGTCGGTAGACATTTTTGACCCTACCCTGTTATTTGTGAGTTGCACAATTTCTACCATAACGTGTTGTCGGCAGTAAGTTCACAAAGCGATGCTCTTCTTAACGAGAGACTCACCTGGTTCCTGTCCCTGGCATTTGCATAGCGAAACCTCTGGATGTAGTAAAAGACCAGCCACGCCAGGGAGATGGTCATGAGGACGATGAAGGAGATGGACACAAACACAACGGACGTGCGGCTCACGTATTTCTGCAGGTTCCGGGTACCGATGCTGATGTACATGGTCACGGTGACGTTCCTTTCCAGCAGGCTTACTATCTCCTTCCCTTTGGGCTCAGGAATCATTATAGCCACGATGTCTTCCACACCTGGGGTGAGAGGGGCGAGGAAGCGGGCAATGAGGGTTGGGCGAGGGGAGGCAATAAGAGTGAAATGTTCGGGAGGGCGCTAAAAGATGGCATTACTTTCTGCTAGCCATGGCCATGCTGTTTTGTAAAGTATCATCATTTTGATTGACAGTTCTTCAAACTATAGTAATTTGAACTCCAGGATTAAAGATAACTTGCATTTCTAGTTTGTGCCCTCCCCGCCACACATCCCTGACTGTGAGCATGTGTTAAGGACTTCCATCAAAACACATGACATGCCTCTCATTCTTCTTCTGAAACCTCTAAGAAGGTCCCAATACCTCTCCACCCCTGCCGTGCGGCCGTCTGTTATGATCTTAATATGTCTTCTAATAACGTTTTTTAACTTCAAAGCACAATCCAACTCAATGTTCCCCTTGAACCCCAAATCTAAAAATTTCACTTCCAGAATCTTCTTCAAAGCTGAGACACCTAACAGCCAGAGTCTGAGTCTCATCTAGCCTTCCATGAGCTCCCCAGAGATGCTGCTCTTACATACACACACACACTACACACACACACACACACACACACACACACACACACACACACACACAATATGCTATGATTCAGACACCAGCAAGGCCATGTTCAGGCTACTTTTTCACTCTCTATGGTGCCGCCCCTAAATTTCGTCCAAGTGGACCCTTCCATAGATTCCCAGGAACAGAACTAAAGGAGTTTCCACTCCATGGCAAGGAATCAGAGGCACAGCTTCCGGCCCCGACCTCAGTGCTCTCTCCCGTTTCCCTCACGTATTCTGCAAACACTCAGTTGCAGATCTCTGAGTGCCAATTTTTAAAGAGATTTCCTCCAGCTTTGAGTACCCAAGCAACAGAAGTCAGGGATTCTTAAAGAACTCCGACAGGACTGGCTAACTGATATAACAGCCTCAGAACTATTTTCTGCATAGTTTACCCAATTCAGTGGAAGTGGTTATGTGTTCTCAAGTCAAGCAAAGGGAAGATGAAGGTAGACAACCCCGAAACAACATGACCTTCTCATATATTTCCACCAAAGTGCCCTTGGCTTTGCACAGTTAGAAGGAAGAGGCTCTTTTCTGGGATCTCAGTCATATGGGTCCTTGTTCCTGTATGAGATACTGTATGAGAGGCCGGTCTCGTAAGCACGGGACACCAGATTCAAAGGAGCCAACCCAACCTGTCGCTGTGGCTGAAACATGGAGCAGAATCCCACAGTTCAATCCGCAGGAGAAGCTGCCCGCTGAGTGGCACACCCCATCCTACATCCAGGCGGAACTAGTCTGTTACCTGAGGCGATTAAACGAACCGGAACCCACTTACTATTTAGGGAGTTGTAGATTCGGGGAGGAAATGAAAGTCTGCTGGAGATGCTCTCAGACTGTGGTCTGGCGGCCAGGTGGTACAGGATCGCTCAGCTATGCTGAACCAGATTACATCTGTGTGTGTGTGTGTGTGTGTGTGTGTGTGTGTGTATGAATGGGTGGAGGGTGGGGGTGATATTACTAGTCTCTTTGACTTTATTCTCTATTCATGGTTTCAGGCCCACATCCTTGACTGTCTCCGACAGGCTGATTAATTATTTTAAAAGTCAGCTCCCTTAGGATCATGTATTTGTTACTTTAACACATTTTTACATCATTTAAAAAGCAACCCAGGTACACACAAAGGAGACTAGCCATTGGTTATGTATTGTTGCATTGATATTAGAAGAGCATCAAGCTCTCCGCTGGTTGTCCAGTTTTTGTTGCTGTCTTTAAGAGCCCCTGAAACTCACGACTTGAACTGTATCTTGGCCGCATGTTCCCCGCCTCCTGCAGCCCCTTCTCCTGCTGTGTTTATTCTGGCTAATGGCTTCCTGTGGTCTGGGGTTTTGCTAGGGATTAAGGCCACTCCCAGGTTTTGCCTGTACAGAAATATGATCTGCTTTGTACTCTGGACTAATCTGGCCTGGGGGTGGGGTTCATCCCAGAGCTGCAGTTATTTTGGAGATATATGAGGATCTGAGAGAGGGTCATGATTTTCTATTTATTTCCTTGTTTATGTTCTCTAGGCTTATTTAAAGCTCTAGATTAGATTTTTGTAAAGACAGGATGTGGGGGTAAGTTAAGAGGCTTTCTATGCTCAGACAGGCACAAATTTATATTTTAACAGCCAAATGAAAATATTTCTTAATTACTTCCAGTTTTGATGCTCTCTTTAAAAGGTTTGTTTCCTCCCAAGACCATAGAATTCCTTATTTAAAAACTGCTTTCCTAAACCGTATAGTTTTACCATCCTTATTTTAAACCTTTAGCAACCAAAATATTTGGCTTGCTGACAAAACAGTATTTACTAAGTTCTCTTAGTGGATAAGCAGAAAGGACGGAGACTAAAATGTGATTTAGTTTCCCACTAAATTCTCGGCTTTATCTTGTACCGTTTGTTTTATGAGGTTGATCTACTTCTTGCTGAACCTGTCCCAACTTTTAGTCTTAAAGCCTTTAACCCATTTCCTACCCCGTGGCTGGAATGCCACCCCCCACAACCCCACACTCTACAGTTTTCCTATTAGGAATTCACACTTGGGAGCCCATGCAGTACAATCATTAAGACTTGCTCTTTGGAACCAGATGGCGTGTTTGAATCCAGCGCAGCACTTTAAAAATAGGCCCCAAAGCTTGGATCGTCGCGAGGCTCTGAATTATGCATTATCCGCTTTCAGGGATCTGAGAAAACATTTTCTCTTTCTGCGGGGTGAGGTATAATTAACTATTTTAAACTGTTTGTTTTAAACCTAAGTGCCTCGTGACTGCCTGCTGTGTCTACAACTGTGGGTACTTCAGGACATACGACATGCCCTGGGAAGGAGGAAAGCAGGCAGGGCCATGGGGCAGGCCTATTGGTCTGGACACAAGTCTTACTAATTTCTGTGTTTCTCTGTACTTTAGGCTGTATACTTTGTACAGTGAGTTGCACTGGGGATATGAATTTATCCCAGTGGGAATAGTCACTAAAAACCGGATGACTAGGGGCTTGAGAGATGGCTGAGTGGTTAAGACCATTTGCTGCTTCCTCAGAGGACCCAAGTTCAATCCCCAGCACCCCCACAAAGGGCTGACAATTGCTTGTAACTCCATTTCTAAGGGATCTGATGTGGTTTATTGATCTTTGCGGACTCCTGAATGTACATGGTGCACAGAAATTCATGCAGGCGTGCACACACGCATGAGCGCACACACACACACACACACACACACACACACACACACACACACACACTAAATTGGGTGTCCTGGTGTAAAGCTAACTGCGTTTGGACGAATTATTCTGATCAGTGAACAAAATCCAGGAGGACCTAGTTTGTTGGAGGGGACACGGGCGCCGATGTGAGTAGTCACACTCCCCTGATCTTCACTTCCGTCCAGATGAATGCCTGCAGCAGAAGTGTGGCTGTACAGAGACAGGAGAGGAGAGGAACGAGAGCTGATGGGGTGTGGCGGGGTTTGCCGGAAGGCACCAGGAACAGTCCAGGGTTAAATGCTGCTCCACTGATGCACTTTTTACCCATGACTCCTGGGCCTGTGGCGGTGACGTACACCCACATAGTCCAAGCTATTTGAGTCATTTCGCGTTTGCCCTGACACCAAGACACTTTGCTGCCAAATGCCTGCTTTGGTCAAATGGCCGCAGTCTACCATCTACCTTCCTTCCAAACATACTTCCGGCTGCGGAGCGGTGAGAGACTGCTGTGGTGTAATCACTGTGCATCCTGGAAAACCTCTCCAGTTAGAGACAACACCGTGTGACCAGCACAGACACCCTCAGTGCCAGAAGCAGAAATACCTTGTGTGTAGTGTTTTTGCTATCTGTGACACGGCTCAGCAGCCACACTCTTATTTGATAAATGTGTGTATGTCAGGCATTCAAAGCTTACAAAGTCCGAGGGTGATTAGTGATGAGAAAGCCTCTCCTGACACACTCAAGCTGGCTGCTTAATCACTGTGTTTGTGAAATCTCCTGACACACTCAAGCTGGCTACTTAATCACTGTTAGTGAAATCTCCTGATACACACAAGCCAGCTGCTTCATTGCTGCATTAGTGAAATCTACTGACACACTCAAGCTGGCTGCATAATCGCTGTGTTAGCGAAATCTCCTGACACACTCAAGCCAGCTGCTTCATTGCTGTGTTAGCGAAATCTCCAGGACGCCAGCAGAGCGCAAAGCTCTATATGGAGCACCACCTCCTCCTCCCTATGCCCCTTGGTGGTGTGAGCATCTCTGCA